AAAGAGGGTTTTTTCACCTTCGTAATAAATTGCACATTCTGAAAGACGTAACTTTTGTCTGATGGATATCTTTGCATGTAAACTCGACAGTTACTCTTCATGGTTGCGAGTGTGGAAAAATTCGTTTCTTACAGCAACACATGTTACGGCAAGGATGTCAGTTCGTAGTCAATATTTTGTTATGCAGCGTCAATGAAATCCGGCTCCATCCCTTGCTGTACGTTCAGGTATCTGGAGACATGCCCGTTGAGGGTCGTGCTTTGGGCTTCTGGCTTGGCCGTTGAGGGCGCTACTCCATTTAGCTGTCGACAGAGAACGTGGGCCCGTTGTGGGTCATACCCTTATTGGAGCGGGGATCCTCAGGTGTCCACACCTTGGCGAACATGATGCCATTACACCCGTTCTCCTTGTTGCTGGACCAGGACAGGGAGTGCGCCGTGAACGGGGAACCATAGCTCCCTAAAACAAAAAGTTACAGCAAGTGTTGTGATCCTTCAAGATGCTTCAGATGAGAAGCGTCGTACTGTAAATAATGTGTCATTCACTGAGCTACTTTGGAGATAACTCAAAATGTGCGGGTTTTAAGTGATGGTAGTCTGTTCATTGCCATTTACCGGTTTACTGTTTTTATTTCTCGCCTCATTATAACAGTATCTTGAAAATAAACATGACACTGCTCGAGTGCTAATAATATAGTAGGGTCTGCGAGACAATCTCACTCCTAGTTGTTGATTTACATTAACTTCAAGGCACAATATAAACACTGTGAACGCCGATATCCATGTTTCATGTAATATGCACATGTTATTTGATCATTTGTTTGTTTTGCACGGGGATCGTAGCTAGATAGACTCTACGTTTGATAAAGCTGTCGGTGAATGAATACCGTACGGTACTTACTCCCGAAGTCGTCAGAGCTTCAGGTGCAGTTATCTAATCTGTGTTCAGCATGTGTAGGTAAATATTGACAGGCATTAAACAGCTAAGAACACAGTTTGAAGCTTATAACTGTCTCTCTTGGTTTTCACTTAACGTTTTCTGTCATTCCCTTTTCGCTTCGCTCTCCGATATTCTGGTTCCCTAAATCACACGCGGAAAATTAACACTTTATTCCACCCACTTTCGAACTTGTGTAAAAAATAAAGGAAAGTGGTCGTTGAAATTCGAGGGGGAAAAATTTGTTTCTTCATACTGTAACCCTTCATTTTTACCGATTTTGATTTCTGATAAATGATTCTCTGTGATAAGTTATCCAGTTTCATTAGTTGCAAAGATTTAATTTATACCTTAAAACAAACAGGAACCGTTGTTGTTTGACATATGATTAAATTTAATTGTGTCAAATTTGAGGTTTTCATGGATGTAAATATTTTGTCTTCTGGGTTATGTATAGCGTGTAGTGGTTGCCAGCTTTTACCTTCGAGGTATCAATGAACAAGTAACGTACAAATTTAGACACCAAATACATGCCAATTTCTTAGTATAAGGTTCCATTAAAGCCTGATCTGATATGTACGGTATTCGGGGTCTCGAAAACTGAGTCCGCAGATTCTAATCCCAATCAGGGCGTGGATAGGCCTGTCTGCGTCTTTTTTCCCTTGCAGGTGACCAATTCCCCTTCCAAGACGTTTTACCAACATAGCTGAAGTATTCATAGTTTCAGAATTCTGAATCGTAACGTGTCTGATAGCGTAGTCCATGATAACTGAAACAGCAGTTTAATTAGCCGTTCTCATAGATCTCATAGTTCTCATAGACGGACAGATTATGAACTTTGTACATTTTGTTAGGGTTCGCCTTTCACGGTGGAGATTGTGCTGTTATTCACTACTGATGAGCTTTCATTGTAACAAATGGGGACAGATAATAACACGGCACGTGTTGTGTACAAACGCAATTAATGAACTGTCACGTGACCTGTGACATCACCGGAAGTGTTCTACGCGCGACTGATCGCTTCCGGTTTGTTTCACTTCATGAATTTGCAGGTGAGAATGAACAATTACGCAAGCAGCCTCTAGTCTGGCGTGTCCGTCTAAGCGTTTTCCGTAAATTCATTCCGAAATATTAACTTAAACTGGGATTCAGCTCAAATCAGTAGGTCATGTCCAAATAATAACACGTGTTGTAATATGTTGAAAAAGCTGAAGCATTAATATATTAAAGTCTTTATGCTGTTTAATGTTTTTGGTATTTTTAAAATTTCCGAGGAAAAAACCACAAATCAGAGTAGACTGTAATGATTGCGGTATAGAATGGCGATGCACTGTCTCTGAACTGAACCACATAATTGCTCCTTACTTCACTGCACTAACTGTACCCGTCTGCCTGGCGAATATTTTTCGAATGAATGGACAGGCCGAATTCAAAGTAGATCTGCTGACCGGACCGATGTTCGTTGGTAGATTCAACAGGAGTACGGATGGGCCTGCCTCAAATCTAACATCGCCCCTGACGAAAGAAGTGTAAATTTTCGGCTGTTTGTAAAATGGAGCTCACCTCTGAGGATGATCTTCTTCGGCTCCTCGCGAGGTGGCTGGTGGATGCCGTGCGATCCTGGAGCTCCGCCAGCGCCCTGGGTGGCATTTCTGTCGCTGGCCACCAGATCGCTTAAGAAGTTGATGTATCCGATGGCTAGTTTTAGTGTGTCCACCTTGGAAAGCCGCTTCTCATAGGGGAGCGTGGGGATGTGCGCCCGAAGCCCCTCGAACGCGTCGTTAATGCTCTGCATTCGTTTCCGTTCTCGCAGGTTGGCAGCCTGCCTCTGCTGCACCTGTTGGCACAGCGTCTCTTATAGGGCCAAACTCTTTGTGACTTTTGGTTGAATATAATAAGAGCCCAAGTGTGTAATTAGAGTCATATATTAATTATAGGTCCAATTGTAATTGTGTTGAGTGGAATGGCGTTAATGGGAGTGTGAAAGTTTATGCCATTTTCCTTCAAAAATTTCTGCAGTTAAGCGGAAATTAACTTAATAGCAATGTCTTTGGTTAAAAGTCCGCTTATAGATTCTCACTGCCAGATATTTCCCGACGTTATCTCTTATGTTTCTCGCATCGCCCATTTGTAGTCTCGCACTAAGATTCTGGGTGTGTTTCTAAGAGATCATTACACCAAATTTTAAAATACATAAGTGCAGTGACGGGATATATTGTCAGTGACAAATCTAAAGTGGCATCTAAATTTTTATTTGTAAATAATGAAATGTTTATTATTAAAATACTTATAAAATGTTATTAGATGTATACTTGATTGACAAACTGGAAGTTTGAGGGGAGTTTATGAAGTTCTCGCTAAAAATTTCTTCGTTGTAGGCATACATATAACAAGCGAAAGTTGGACCCTCGTCAAAAAGTGAAGAGTCAGCTATGGATGCATTTTAAAGTAAAAAAAAGAGAAGAATTTTTGGACCAATTAAAGAAAAGATACATGGAGAATTAGATATAGCAATGAGTTATATAAGCAATTTGACGAGCCAAGTGTATAAAATATTATTACATTAAAAAGACCACAATGGGTAGGTCATGTCCAGCGTACTGATGGAAAACGCACACCGAAAAGGATTCCGGAACGCAACTTTATTGAAAAGAGGCCTGTAGGTAAACCAAGGAAAATATGGGTTAATGCAGTGGAAATAGACAGCAGGGAGATCTTGAAATTGAGAAACTGGAAAAGAGAATCTCTAACTAACTAACTAGATGGCTTACCGAACCCGAAGGTTCATCACCGAATTAACCAAAGCCCTCCACCGGACCCTGTCCTGGGCCAACAAAATCCAGTTTCCTTCAACTCCTAACTCCGATAGATCCCGCCTGAGATTATCCTCCCATCTACGTCTAGATCTCCCCAGCGGTCTCTTCCCTTCAGGCTTCCCAAATAGTGGACCCAACCAACCAGATGGCTTACCGAACCCGAAGGTTCATCACCGAATTAACCAAAGCCCTCCACCGGACCCTGTCCTGGGCCAACAAAATCCAGTCCCCTTCAACTCCCGGGAAGACAAAATATTTTGGACTGAGAAGTAGCAAGCATTTCCGGAATTTAGTCTCCTCCTAACTTCCTCACAAGTATCATTTTGATTTGTTATTGTTGTTCCCAAATATTTGAACTAGAGAGGAAAATTTGGAGGCGTCATTTAAAGGACACCAGGGCAAGACTTCGGGCTGTCGCACCATAGAAGAAGGAGGCTTATCTTGCAACGCTAACTGTTACATATCCTGTAAATGATGTTTGTGAGATGAAACAACTAAATCACCAATAAAATTAAGACTGTCGCGCAACGGATTTAGATTAAATGTCATCTCAAAAGTAATTATAAAATGTATCATCGCCCTAATGATGAACGCAGCAAACACATCACAAACGTTGGTAAATGTCTACCAGATCACACGACAGAAAACAGCGATTTTCATACTCGCCGCCATGAGAATCTGATATCTCAGTACAATCGTTTAACCATTTTAAGCACCAAGCTTATTAAAATAATGTTTAAAAATTCAGCCCCCAACTGAAACAAGGCACAAATCGCCTAATTTACGTAGGTCAGTTGGTTAATGTATTTTCAGGGACATAATCGCTCTTATTCTGGCAATGAAACCTAGTGTGCAAAACATAGAGTAACTGAATGGTAAAGCACATGGTGTATGAAGCAAGGGGTTAAGGTGTGTTCAGTCTTCGTACCTGTTGTTGCGGACACTTGCTACGTCTCCTGTGGAGTCGGTGTCTGCTCCTGGAGGCGGCAGAGGAGGCAGTGGCATTGCTGTTTTCCTGGTCGCTGCCGTAGGAATACGTGGAACCAGCTGAGCTGCTGGAGTCGTCGTAGAGGAAGAGATCGGCAGCGCTGCTGTTGGTGCTGCTAGCCCCGCTGCCGCCCCCACCACCGCCCCCACCTCCGATGTAACCTTGGGCCTCCAGCAAGAACTGCCGGTTCACGGCCTCCAGCTCCAGGTTGTCCATGCCGAACATGATGCTAGTCGTCTTGGGCGACACTTTACAACTCACTGCAGTCTTTGAAGAGATTCGAGCATTTGAAATTAACTAGAGATTCGCTAAACAATCCCTGTGGAAACTGCCCAAATGAAGAAAACAAAGGGATTCTCCGGGGGTTATTTCGAAGCTGCAGTATGTGTTTTCTAAATGACGACGTCTTTGAAATTCCTTGAATTATGTCGACATTTTTGTTGAATTTGTAATGGTAAAATTACATTTGTTCACTAATAAGTATTTGTAGAGATTTAATTTTATATTTGTATCAGTCAAATCGGCGAGGAAATTGATTGTTTATTTAGTATCACTGTATTATATCCACATGAAATTTTATTTGTTTTAAAGACGGTATTTCTCGATGTTGGAAATTGGTGACAATATCAGACATTCTTCTAATTCTTGAAACATGTTTTAAATTGTCATTTTATTCTAGTCCAGCAATAATACCTGTTTGGATTTCTGAAATTGTGCTTAGCTTTGCAACTTCTAGTACCTTTGAAAATTTGAATAGATTAAATCTGCGACTGGATTACACTGTGTCATTATGACCATTACTCGAACTTCTGCATAGTTACATACACTGAAACCGCTAACTTGAGGCAAATGTAAATACTTAAGATTTTAAGTTCGCTGTTGCTGAAGAGTCCGTGGAATTTTTGCATGTCTAGGTAAAGGTAACAGCTGATTCTCTAGATTTTCGAATCTTTATCAATTTCTTCAACAGGTTATAATCTTAATTTTGAAATTGTTAATTATATTGATTTAAGATTTATTTTTATGTATCTTTTCTAGGCGCACTCGTTTTTGGCATTGACGTTGCCAGCAAACACTAAACGCGTTTACCTCATGAGGTATGGTATATTGCACTGCGTTTGGAAAATATATGTTTTTACGTCATGTCCTGTTGTATGAACACAGAAGAGCACTGCATTAGGAAATTAAAAAGTTAATATAGGGATTAATATCATCTGCTTCACATCTATGTGACACTACGATAGAGAACGTTCAATGTTAAATTATTCTGTGATAACTTTCCTTTCGACTAGTATTATATCATAACAATTTCATGTATCATCGAAAATAAAATCACATAACCGGTTTACATGTATAGATGAATGAATATGAACAACAAAATGTGACAACAATTCGATTATTTCCCTTTGTTGTATGACTATCTAGGTACGATATAACACACGCACAGAAAATAGTTAAATCGCAGTATGTTCTTTTATCTGTTTATCGAAACAGTTTCATCGTGTGTATACTACTGCAATTAATGGAATCCTACTCCACTATTTTCTGTTGTCAATATGTTTAGTTAGTAACAATCTGTTCGCTTGGAAACCATTTTCTGTCACAACAATCCTCCATATATGTATTGTCAATTCTTGGTATCATTGCCTGTAGAGGAATGTGGCACGTGCAGGTGAATGTCAGAATCACAGCCCCCTGTATCGCCTGTTCTCATAGCAGTCTGCCCACACACGTGCCACAACAATGTGAAACATCACACGAACTCCATGTGACTGCACGCGGCCACTATTTTGCGCTAACTGTTAATCCAATCAGAGAACAAACGACGAGCGGCGTCCGCGCACGTGCGATTCTGACCGTCGTCTGGCATCGATTTGTGGCGAGACCAATCACATAGGGGTGGAGGGTGCTAGGACCAATGGGGGAACAATTACGTTCAGTGGAATCCGCCCCATTGTGGGGAGAGGATGCTCCAGAAAAGCGATCATATTCCTGTGATTATAATTACATTTCAGCTTTTTACACTAAAATAAATACCTGCCATAGTTTCCAAAGCATTACTACGGGAAATTGGACGAAATATTCCTTAGCAATCGTGATCACCCAGAAACTTACAGTCGTCGCGCGCGACTTACTAATCGCCCTGAAGTTGGATGCAGCAAGGATCCCATAAACGTCGGTAAACTTCTATCAGACAGCATGGCATCGCAGCAGAAAATTTTCATTTGCTGTATTCATACACGGAGAGGGGAAATACTGAAATTCGCAAAATGGTGTCTAAAATATGTAGGATATGAGGTTTTCACAGCGGTGAGTCTGAATATTTCAGTCTTCTGGGTTGTTGCGCTGTGTAGATTTACGAGACTACGCGGCGCAACGACCCAGAAGGCTGCAATCTTCATGTCCAAAAATACCCTTACAGTTTGGTCTTTTTGAATAGATTTAATTCTGTCGTTCTAAATTGTTGCAAAAATTGTCTTCGCCATCATTTGTTTGTGCTACTGTGTTTGAAATGGGTCACGTACCAGGTAAATAGGACTGTACTACAAATTACATGCATGTAAGGTGTCGCGATGGGCTTGTTAGCGCAGATAGACATCTGGTCACAGTAATGACCTACAGATTATTTATCAGCTGCTGGTCAAGTTCATTACATTTTACCAGGTGTAACACGCAGTCCTGTAATTAGCCATGTCTGAGTTCTGCGTATCCCGCACAAGCGAAGTTCGTAAACCCCAGACACACCCTTCGAACTGTTGTGCGGTTGAATTAAGTTCTGCGTCAATCTGTAAGGCATGGTCAAAGCCTCAAAATAACTCATCATTCCTATTTAGTGCCCGAGGAAACGTAGCTTGAGCTACATCTGCACTAGTGTGAGATTTGAGGTTCTTAATGTCGGCGAAAATGTGTTGGTCCACACTCCACATGACGTTACAACCAGAAAGGCCAACGTCGAAATTACATTAGTCTTTTAGGCGGGGAAACAAATTTTTGGCTGTTGTCAAGCACTTAAATAAATGAATTGAATTGAATTATAAGCGACCGATTTTATTATTTCTGTCATTATTTTCCTGTTTAAGTTTCCTTTTTGTAATTTCCCTTGTTCTTCACGTGTTTATTTAATATGGATATTTCCTATTTCTACACGTTGCGTAGGTTTCGTTTTCCTATATCTTAAACTTTAAACTGCCAGATTTAAAATTCGTCATTGAGCTTCTATGAATCAGTAGCAGTTACTGATTTCCTTGTTTATTAAAAACGTTAGAAGTATTGAATAAAATCTTCGGAAATGTATGTAGGCGGAGATGAGAGGCTTGTTAAGTGGCCTACATTAACTCGAATTCCACAAACTTGTTGTCAACCCAACCTTGAGGTACTTCATCGCATTAAGAAATCCATTACAATGCACAGCTCACTTACGAGTATTCTGAAGATAAGTGCGAAAAGTGTATTTATCTTAGGGAAAATAATGCAATGAAGGCTTTTGTCATACAACAGATGAATGTGTTTTCCCGATAAAACAAAACTCATTTATTGTAATCTCTAAAACTTTGTTAGTCACATCATTAACTATTACTGTGGATGTGTTTGATACAGAGATATTAGAATTTTATCATACCACCTTCTCTAATTTTAATTGATAAAACATCAGTTTATGACCGCGGTGCGCTTACAAACTCTCAACACGTAGCCTGAGTTCGCTCATACTTAAGAGAAACAAAATATTTTCATTAATTTCTCAGAATATACATATTCTGAAAATTTCCTCTTTTTTTTCTTAACTCACGCGTTTTTCAAAATCAGAATTAAATTACGCTAAAAGGACACGAGATTTACGATATATGTTTGGAGAGGTTTTCATTAATAGACCTAAATGTAATAAATTGTTTGTGTTCAAGATGTTAAGGCAGGGCAAAGGTTTCGTAAGAAATGAACGGAAAAGATGAAGTGGAACAGATAATATTGATTGGTAATGCAGCCCTGCTGTGTTGTAAATGACATTATCAAACAGAAACAAAACACTGACAACACGTGTGCCATTCTCATCGCTTAATATTCCTCGGTCTGCTGCCTGCCCCGCGGTTAAGAGCGCTGGTCCACCTTGCGGTGGGTCTTCAGGGCAGCAGTGGCACATGTGCAGTGGGCAGTATTTAGTTGTTGCTGGGTGGCAGCGTAATTTATGAATGTAAGCTCATACCAGGTAAATGATTAATTTTTCTCTGGTGCAAGTTTCAGAGTATATATTATGCATCTATTCACCATTTTACAGAGAATTAACTTCTATGTACCTGAGACAAACCTTACCTCTGAGGTACATAGCGCAGCAGCTATTTCTGAAATGCATTTTGTTTCCTAACACGTGTTACATGCATTAAACAGATTTCGCGTGAGGCATTATATATTTTACATCAGCGTCTTTCGAATGATATATGATGTTCCTATAATTATTGGAATTACTTTTGCTTTCACTTTCCACATTCGTTGTATTTCAATGAGAATGTCCTTTTATTATTATCATTAAAGTAAAATTGGTCATGGAAACTATTGGAGAAGAGGTCTAGCTCCTACTCGTTCTTGACATCGGCGCTAAATGGAGGTGATTGATCAGCGTCACATCCCGGCCGTGTTTTACCCCCCGGGAATGGACCTCTGCATAGGAGGCTGGGAGAGCCCCAGAGTCGGTCTGGACGCAGAGGCTAAAAGAAAAGTCTTTTGCCGCTGTTGGGGCTCGAACTCCAGTAGTACAGTCTGCAGTGACTCATTCACTATATGACTGAGTTCTCCCGACTTTTTATTGTTGTTTCTGTTACCACAAATCTTTTCTTTTAGTGGGACGTCCCCTCTGTACCAGTTATTAATCTCACAAGAATATACTTATACATTTACTTTCTTCCTAAGTGTTGTAACGACAGATAAAATTGTCTGAAACTGCATAATAAATGTCGAGCAGAGAATCTTACCACAAGAGATTTGAGAGACGCACGCATGTGGAAGGATGATATCACCACGATGCTTTAGACAATGCACCGAAGAGCTGTTTCACTCGGTTTCATCTCGTGACGTACGTCGCTTGTGCCCGGAGGAGCAGTCATGGTTCAAGTCCTCGCATTTACCAGGGGTCCGGGTCATTGTTGAAATCTTGCACACGCAACAACACGACAAAGGAGCATCACCTTGCGCGCACTTCCGTCTGCGTGCGGCAGATTTTTAGAATTTTATCAACATCTGCGACTAGCGAGGCGGAACGCGCTGCGATAATGGGCTGCTAGCGTATTTGCCAAATTGTTTTGAGCATTCTAATATGTTCGGAGGAGTTCCTTAAACAGTATTATCAGTACTATATTTTGAATTCTGTAATGCAGCTTGTAAATGTGCCTTTTCATACATAGTTTTTAAGACCGCTATTTTGATACACTTATTTTCTGCGACGAACTTGAAAATCCATATGAAGGTTCTGCTATCCCGCCTCCAAAACCCATCTTTTGCGGAAGTAAGGTGAAAAATACGCAATATGATGCCTCTCATACACTAATGCCAAAGTTATATTCATATGGTGCGCTTATTCTTGGGAAAGTAGTCTCCAGATATTGAGTTATGGCAGACGATTGCATACGTTGCTAAGGAAGTATCACTACCAACCAAACCGTTGATCAAGTTAAGTTTTAATTTCAATCGTTGTTTACGATGTGGGGACTGTAGTATAACCTGTACAGTTCAATAGAATTAAAATGTAGTACCAAAAATCGATAATGCTAAAAACAGCCTGCTTCACCCTGAATATGGAGACGAAACGTTTCTCCTAACGTTGGTAATCAGGTGTCACACAACATGGCAAACCCCCGAAGCGATAATCGATAAATTTGTCCTCAAGCAATAAATTTTACATATGATTTGTATTATAGTCCTAAAAAATACTCTTGTCATTTACATTAGTTACTCTTATCAGGTAAAGTCGTAGTTAAGTTCAAGCAATGCGACGAAATTTTGATGTTATTTCTAACAGGTTTAAGGTAGCCTGTAGTTTAAATTATTTATTTAAGAGCCCCTGTTACCAGGGCTGGATTAAGGTCCTTGGAGGCCAAAGGCACTTCTGTTTTGTAGGCCCCTTGGTGGACGCATTATATGTGTAGACTGGTACCAAAATTATGCGGACTATTTCTTTTTCGGGTAACAAAATTCTATATATGTGACACATGATATATTTGTCGAAGAAGAAACACAAATATGTTACTCCTTTTTCGTAGGCCTTAGGCTCAGTACCTACTAGATTATACGGACGTACTTGTTATCCACATCGTATAGGCCTTGACTTAAGGGTGAACAATTCTTTCCAGAACTCCCTGTTATTAAATGTCATATCGAGGGAATTTATTTCAGTTCTCTTAAACGTCGGGATTCCCATCGAGCGGCTGCGTTGCGGGCAGGAAAGCGAGTCTGAGGATGGCTCACCCCTCGCTGGATTGAGCGATCGGTTCCGGTGCCGGGAGGGGATTGTTATCTTTGTGTGTGTGTGTGGGGGGGGGGTTGCATAATGTAAGGCATCTAATGTCATAGAACAACATAAAAATGAGTACAAAACGTGTGCTGTAGTCTCGACGGATACTGGACTGTACGGCGGTGTGCTCTGCTGTCCCTGTGCTCCCCAAAAGTGGTCAGCCGTTTTCTAGAGTGGCCACAGTGTACTTTAAAGTCCAATTTACGAACTTCCTTAAATATATATCGTATCTAGAAATGTACATCTATGGGGTATTTTTCTTAGTAAATTGTGTAATTCTTTGTTGTTGTT